GCGATTTTTTCTAACATCGCGATGTTCTGCTAGTTCTCCTTTCTATCTCTAAAAATACCACAGTTCTACAAGGTTTTCATCAGAACGATCGAATTCTTGCAGCATACGCAAGAGCTAGTGAAAACAAAAGCTCCATCATTGAAAATGTAGGACATGTGGTTCAAAAATCAAATACACATGGAATGAGCAGTTGATCTGTGACTCTTGAGAATGCGTGATCGCGCCAACAATTGCTGTAACCATATGATACGTTGAAAGCCGCTGCGCTGCTTCAACACGATTACAGTTCCTTTGCCATTCTGTGATCTAATTGGCAAGTGTTGTTCACAGACAGCTCTTAATTGTGATAAGAAGTGGTCAGATTTATCGCCTTACCTTCATGATGCAGGTCAAGACAATATGAGTGCCTGATAACAACTATGCTTTTGTTACAGTAAGCAATAGGAAGATTTAAGTGGCTTCTAAAATAAGCTGAACATATACTTCTGATAGCGCAATCCGCGGACACATCTTGTACTTAGATACTAAAGCATTAGCCATCGACTGACGAGTCTCGCATTCCACCAAAGGAAAATTCTTTTTTTCAAAAAGTGCCAAATGTCTTGCATATGCGGAAGATATCGTATTGCTAGCAGACAGCTTCGAAGATAAGGATATCGAATTATTTTTAAAAAAATAATTTTCTGTATTCATGAAAGTGAAATTTTCTTAACTTTAACTCTTCATCAGTTGAAAGAAAATAAAGTGAACAAACACCTTGATCATTGCAAAAGGCTACACATTGACAGCTCTTGGTTGAATGAATTTTTGATTCTGGGTCCATAATTCATTAATTGGTTTCGAGATTCATGGTTAGTTAACGTAATCTAACACATCAAGAATGCAATTCCTTTATGCACGGCTGAATTCTGAATATCTTGCTATGTGATCTGGAGAAGGCACTGCTTAGAAAAGCTTACGACGAAAAGCGTGGGGACCGCAGAAATTAAGATTAATGTACAAACAATATTTGGATAATTAGATAACAATTATTTCAACACTTAGAAATTTTAATTCATTTAGTGCCAGATGCTTTCGCACCCGATACAGATGAAAACATATAACTAGAAACGCTCTCTAGTCGCAAACCGAACACTTTAGACGGTGGGGTGACTATCAGCAAATCTTAATGATGAGTTCCTTGTCATGTGAATACCGAACGCAACTTTCGATGGAAACCTACTGCCAATGAGTACCTCAGAAAGATGTCATTGAAAGGATTGAACAGCTAATACGTTGTTATTCGATTCAAATCGAGGTAGTTTACTATGCAAAGGCATGAAAAGACAAAGAACAGGCATTTTTCGAGACCTCACTGGCGACTCAAAATATTTTGAAGTTTAGACCTGTAGTGGTAGAAAGTAATTGCTCTTCCCTAACGGAATCGTAATCTCTGCAACCGCTGAAGGCCGACACGATTAATCTGGAATGACATCTGCTGTCGGAGTGCGGTCTAACCGTTAGAATCGACGAACGAATAAGTTTGCAAGAACAACGCGTAAAAAGTGATGAATCGTTCTGTCAGCTCTTTAGTATAGTCATGCATCTGTGATAAATTATCTTCATCATCAACCTTTGTTCATCTACTTTTGGATGAAGGCCCCTCAAAGATTTCGCCATAGGCTTCTATGATCTCTGCCATTTTCTTCCATCTTGATAGAGCGATGATTTTTGGCTCTTCCTGTAATCGATCTGGAAGTCTTCCAAGGTGCCATTTTCTGTCCCTGAGATCCCAGTCTAATGTGTCTATGGTCCAGCGACAGTTGGTGCTTCTTGAAACAAGTTCTTTCCATGGCTGTTTAACTTAATCCCTAGGCAATGACATCGAAGTCTGTTGTCTGTACTTTAAACGGGTGTCCTATAAAGCGGTTCTGTTTTCTATTAAAATCTGGTTGAGTTAAGAATTTTCATCAAGTTCAAAAACGGGTAGTTAATATTGCACTGAAACTTAAATAACTTTTATCAATAGAATATCTGAGTACTACATTAAGGTACGCATTTCATACTCAATGAACGATATTAAGGTTGCTGCACTCTGCCCTGACAGACTAATGGCCTCATTTCCTTTGGCTTGCTTTCGAACGTTTTTTTCTCACCCTAGTAGTTACTCATTACCAAGTTTGCCCATATTTAGTCGATATGCTAGACATTCTCTACGAAGAAGACGCATTAAAGGATGGGCCTTTGCCACTTATTCGCTGTCTAACAATTCTCTTCAAGTTTGTGGTAAGAGTTGTCTTCCTCTAGGCATGTTGAAGCTCTTCTCTGGTCTCTTAACGTTGTGTCATCAGACTTCAGGCGCTCATCAAAAACTCTTAAAGGAGTTTGGGAGCTGTTCTTTACAACAGGGAATGAGAGATAGAATCTAAACGTAATCTACACGTAGCTGCACTATTTATTTTTTACTGCTTATACACATTCAAAAACGGTCTTTTAGAATGTGTTATAATTTCAATTCCGCTTGAAAATTCAGAGCTAGCTAGCACACTAGAATTTATGAAAAGCGCTCCTGGCATTTAAAATTTCTTCTAACTCATCAAGCCTAACGATGGTGGCTCCAGTGATTCGTGATGCTCTAATTTGGGTGTTGCTACTTTTATATTATTATTGCCACTGTCGCTTTGATATTCACAGAAGGGTGGACAACGCATCAAATATTATTTTATTAACAAGACCATCTGAGTTTCTGACCAAGCTCTGTCCGTCTTCAGAGTTACAACGAGTGAGGCACGTAAAATTTTCATGCTGGTCTCGTTGACTCGTACAATAAAAGGTGCCGCATTGGTTACTGGTAGTAAGCGACCGCTTGATGCTTGCGGTCCATGTCTGTGTCCTTACGTCATTCTAAAAATAATTTCCTATGTCTATTACCTTACACCTCATCATCATTGTCATCATCGGTCTTTATCCACAGCCAGATGAAGACGTCCCCAAGACTTTGCCATAGACTACTGCTTTTTACCATCCTTATCGACTTTGCGTATTCCTTTTAAGTACTACTTCTACCATCACAATGTGGTCGAAGGTTGACAACGGATTTTCAAGGTGATGTACAGCTGAGCTTGTTGGATGTCGCAGGTTCAAACAACGTTATGAAAGCTTGAGAAATATTTCTATTCAAATGGAAGAGTAACAATTCACCAAACTGTTTGGCTAGTGTGAGGAGTTAAGGTCCATCTTCCAAGGTCACCTTACATCTATGTGCACGATGATCATTTTTTGACCTTAGAAATCTTGTTCTGACAAAAGTTAACAGAGTTTAATGCTCTTTCACTTCAAATCTGAAATATTCAAGATTTTATTTTTTCCCCGTTTCAGTTAAGTATAAGCAAATGTTCTTCGACTACACTTTTACTTAGCTTCTAGCAGTGAAATACCAGTGCATGAACATTGCTAAGTGTCAGATGGAACGAGTGGCGCACAGATTTTTTGTCAAATGTTTTTTGTCCCTCATCCATGAGTGCCTCCAATTGCTGAAACTATCTTCGAGAAGTGTTTTAGTCATGCTACCTACCCTTCATTTAGAACTCTCAACTACCCACATTTCTTAGCTTTGAGCAAACTGATTTCTCGAACTACTTGGCACTCTGTTTACCGATCATGACGCGATTCTCTCTGATCGTCCGGATAGCAAATATGTGTGTGCTACCAGATATCGTGGCTTACAACTGGTCAAGTGCGGGCGACACGCGGAAGTGAATTTCGAATACGTTAAAATCTAATAACACGGCATTCGACTGACGCAGCCAGCCATTGCGACACTCATGCATAAGTGACTCGCGTATTTGGCATAAGATTTCTTCAAAAGCACGCCGACAGATCTGCAAGGCATTTGAATATCGTATGCTTGGAATTTTCCTGTAGTGCAAAACGTTGTTTCGTAGAATCATTTTTACACAAGCACATCGTAGGACAAAGAGACACACATCTTAAGAGAAAAGACTGTTGTTTCGCGTACTGAATAATACTGGATGACCTTCAAAGGTTTCTATAATTTCTGCACCTCTTTAGCAGATATAGATGCTGATGCAGACAAGAGTTAGAACATACGATTAAAATTAAAGTACTCAAACATACAGTACGCACCATAATGTGGCTTATGCTCAGAGCTGTTCGATACTCAGTGAGTGGATATTTCTGATGCTCTTTAACAGCACTATTTGTGACATAAAGATTATCATGTGGTTAAACGGAAAGACCCAAAACATGATTATGCGATTAGTAAAAATGCGTGGATCGAAATATCAATATGAAGAGCAGACCCTTTGTGCTACAGATCAAAGATAGTAAATATTAGAAATGATTGAAAATGTGTACAATGACATAGAGCGATACAAACAGAAATTTTCAAAAATGAATAGAAGGACGAAAACAAAAATTGTACATTTTCCCATTCATTTTCAGTTCAGCAATTCACCTTCTGTTTGGAGGCTTGATGATACGACAAAAATCGCTCCGTACCATGGATCTATGAATGGCATTATTGAATTGTTGCCATTCAGATCAAAGCACGTTTCTCTTTGAGAAACTCACAATCTAGAAAATTAGGAAATATTTAACTTCTTTTGGTAATTAGCTTGTTAGTTTCAATATTAATGGCGGTCTTCAAGGTTACTGCCGTATTAGAGAAAGAAAGCACCACCATACTTACTTTCGTACTTTGCTACAGAGATGGACAGCACTGAAAAATAAAGTCTTGATACTGTTATGAAAGAAACGCGGCAAATTACGGTTAAGCTTGATTAGCAGGTTCCTGCCACGGGATATTCCAACTCTTTTGTTCACCTTCGCATAGGATCTTTTTCATGTCAAGGAGTTGTAGTAACCTCAATGGAAACTTTATTCTAAGGGACATGGCTACCTTTTCTACTGTTATAAATTGCAGAAATTTAGCTAAGTAAGAAAAAGCCTCAATAACCGGTAAGTCTTAAGGTAAAACTTAAGAATGTGACGTGTCTTTAATTTCGAATTTTCTACCGTTATCTTGTTTCAGCTGGCGGTTACAGTGGAGGAAGCGAATGATCTGCCGGCGATGGACATTGGTGGAACGTCAGATCCTTACGTAAAACTGTACCTACTTCCGGATAAAAAGAAGAAGTTTCAGACGAGCATACATTATAAAACCTTGAACCCGGTTTTCAGCGAAACCTTCATTCTCAAAGTAAGACTTGCCTCCGATCACCTCTTCATACGGCAGTTTGATCTGATTCGCAGGTTCCTTACAACGAACTGGCCAGCAGGACTGTGATGTTTACGGTTTACGATTTCGACCGTTTCGGCAAACACGACCAAATCGGGGAACTGCAGGTACCCCTGAATTCGGTTGACCTTGGCGAATTGTTCAGAACCACCCGTTCGATCCAACCGCCACCCGTTAGTTACCCACCATGGTCTCTGATTTCCTCACCTCTCGTCATGTTTGTAGGAAAATCACTTGGGTGAGGTGTGCGTAGCGCTGCGCTACGTGCCAACGATGAACAAATTGCGCGTCGTCATCATGGAGGCAAAGAACCTGAAAAAAATGGACGTCATCGGTCTGTCTGGTGAGTTATCGACGGCGGCGAGAGCGGCCTGGCGATTTGTCGTCGCTAGCACAGACGCATTTTTTAGATCCGTATGTGAAAATATACTTGATGATGGGAAACAAGAGATTAGAGAAGAAAAAAACCAGCATCAAAATGCGAAACCTGAATCCGTATTACAACGAGTCGTTTTCGTTCGAAGTGACGCCAGAGAAACTACAAGTAACAACCGGCGGCTTTAGTGCACATCATATATTAAAACTGAGTTAGATATATGGAAATGAGCTGTTTCCTAATTGAGATAGCAATTAATGAGGATATTATTTACCATACTGCTTCGAAAACGAGCTTGATGACGCGACCCAGTTTCCTATAGGAGACATGGCGACTAAAATCTGTTGCGAAGCCACTCTCGCAATCAAAAGAACATATATAATACATAATAAGAAGCATCTGTAGATTCTGTAATATCAATGAACTAGAGCGCTTGGCCCTATATTAAATGTTCTACCCGTTTCATCAAAATGAGTTAAGTAAGTATAGTTCTCTTCTAGTGCATTCCTCAGAAGCTCATTGGAAGGGCTTCAGATGTGTTTCAAATACTTTCCTTCGCTGCCGTAGAGTGTATTCACATATTAAGCAATAATGACATTAATTCTAAAACGTCCGAGGGATTCGTGCCTCCTGAGGAAATTTACGAGCAAAACGATGGGACAAAATTATTCCTTTGACTTACTACTCTGGACATCCATTGAGATCTGTAGTAAATACGGCGCAAATGGTACTTGCTGTTCTCCAGGCAATAAGCTCAGATTCTCAGTTTTGTGCGACGAATCATAATATAGGTGTCAGAAGATGAACTTTGAAGCTTTCGTTTTAACTTTTAATGTTATTTGGTGAAAATAAATTGGAGGGGAAATAAAGACTTTGACGTCAATTACCAGTGGAATCCTTGCCACTCATAGTAAATAACCAGACGTAAAATATAAATAAGTTTACAATCAAGATATTCTACTTGCTGCATACACGTTAAATGCGCTATATGTCAGATTATGCGGCTAACTAATTCACTAGGTTTCCTATATAACAGATACCTTCGAACATCATACATGACGGCCGAATGTTATAGCGTGTCTACTTGGTGATCACTGTGATGGACTTCGATCGTGTAGGCTCAAACGATGCCATTGGACGCGTGATCATCGGACCGAACGCCACAGGACCCGCCCAACAGCACTGGAATGATATGGTGGCTTCGGCGCGGCGGTCCATCGCCCAGTGGCACGTGTTGCAGTCGCTAAAGAATGACTGACCAACGATTGTGCAGTTAGTACAGTTGTACTGATTTGTGAATATTATACGAATAATGACGATGAGCCGGCGGACGGGACGGACGACGAAAACTTTTCCCCGTCACTCTTGCGCGTGTATGACCGACTTTGCGACCATCGTCCTGCTGGCCACGATGCTTTTATGCTAATTTTGATTTTTATGAATAAAGAAATACCTTCAGGGATTGGCCCCAACTAAGTAATCTGGAGACTAAGCACAGACCGTAGTCAAACGCGTATTCATCATGAAATTAAAACAGTATGCTATGCAATATAAGTTGTAAAGATTAAACTAGACGCTATAGTGAATTTTCATATGGTAAAACTAAAGAGTGCAATGCGTTACTGTTTTGCATTGTGCTTAACAGACAATTTCTCTTGAACGAGGAATTCACTCACTTTGCCATGTGGAAACTAACCCAGTAACGGATCGTAGGCCAAAAGTCTGCTAAAAAACGTATTCCGCTGCGGTCATGCAAGAGTATGCCGCACTCAAGCTGTCTGATGCATAGGCTTTACAGTTTCAATTAGGCATGATCATTCTGACAGCTGAATACAATCACCACAAAGTGTAAACAATGTAACTTTTAGATAAGTTTTAAGTTTCAGGCTCAAACTAACTCTCCACGGTGGGAAACATCGTTCGAAGAAAAGATTTAATTCGAGAAACACTCACAATTATGCACTACCCAAAGAGACCGGTTTTCGACTGGATCTGCCAACAATCGTCTCAAGGTAATGTGCTTATGTGTAAAAGGGTGGACAAGAATGAGTTCTTAAATAAGCAGCTATATTAGACAGTATTTGTTAACACCATCACCTTGAATCCTTCTCGAAAGTGAAACATCTCTTAGCTGTGATGTCTGTTGCATTCACAGCTTGTCAACGGTTTTGTATCTGCTGTGCCGTGAACTAACTATTTATGGACTCGCGTATTTCCTTACTCGCTACATAAGGATACGAGTGACAATTGTCTTTCATATTTCTGACCAAGGAATCAAAATGCGTATCTGTTTCTTTCAAACAACTAACTATTATTATCAAACAGGAATTTGAATGAAATTACAAGAGTTAATTGTTGGTACTGTTGATGAATATCAGAAATAGCCATCACTTCTCCGCGTGTTAATGGATTGCTCTATTTATTCATCTCCTTCAGCTTCCGCCGGTTGGCCGAACAACGTGAAAGGGAAGTTTGTACTACGTACTTTAGATGCTCTACTATCCTAAGCCATAAACTGCTTAATCTTGATAGACGTCCTAAATCTGCAGGAACAAGACCGCGGTGCGTATATCCGGTGCCAGAACCAGTTTCAGATGGATTAGAGGCCAACTGTGGGACTCTGTGTAAAGTATATGACATGATCGATTAAATTTTCCGCTACTTCTGCTACCCAAGCGGAAGGGAGCAGCGGTGCGACGGTGTTGCCGAATCTTCAGGAGGGTCATGACCCAAATTTATCGGTATTTATGAACCTTTGTAAACAGTACGCTGTGGCTGGAGATTGTTGGAGCGAAGCGATAGATAAGGTGAAGGTCATCCAATCAGCTGAGACAGCAGACGTTGGCCAATTGGCGAAGGTGCCACTCGGTGGTCTATTGTGCGTACCTGTACGCGGTGTCTCGCCACCACCGCTGCTGACACTGTTTTGTGTGCATGTATTTGTTCACGGCTCGTTTTCTCTGTAGTCAAGGCGAGGAGCGAGGTGGCGTCGCGTCGTCGACTCGGAACGACGTGTGCTCACCGCACAGGTGTATGTGTGACTTGGCTCCGACCGATTCAAACACGTACAAAACACAATATACACGGCAAGAAAGAGCGAGGCAGCAGAAACACAACAGAGCACACCTCACCACAGCACTGCATACAGACACATCACAGCATTTCCGGTCCGGTCCGGTCCGCTCCAGTCCGGTCCGGTCCGGTCCGGTCCCTTCCAGTCCGGTCCGGTCCGGTCCGGTCCGGTGCCGGCGATGTCGTCGTCGTCGACAGCCCCGCCACCACGCCGCAGAGCTGAACGCGCATTCGTAGCCGCACAAGCACAAGTTTCGATTCGCTGCCGCCACCGCTGCCGCCTCCCTTCAAGATTCGTCTGGCGATTCACTGCAGTTCGCGGCGAGACGAAAACTGGTGGTCATCCGCATCGCATCATCGGCGTCCACATCCCGACACAAACCACCGATCGCCATGGAGTCAATGGAGTCCATTCACCAACAGACGTCCCCTGTCATGGATTGTTACGGAGACGACCGCGAGGCACTAACCGAATATGAGCGCTTCTACAACAACATCGACTGCAGTGACGTCACGCTGCTGGTCGGTGACGAGATGTAAGTACTGGCGATGTCCCCTGTGGACGTGCTACGCGTAGT